ATAAGGTTATTGAATGAATTCAGGTATGTACCTAACTTGAAGAGAAATTTGATTTCTATTGGTGAATTCGACAGAAAGGGATATGTTTTTTAAGGAGAGAAAAGTATCCTAAGAGTCATGAAGGGGTCGAAGAAAGTATTGAGAGACGTGAAGAAACAAGACTTGTATACCCTTGAGGTTGAGGTTGTAAGTGGTTCGACAAATTTTGTATCCACGAAAGAATTATGGCACATGAGATTGGTCCATGTCAGCGAAAGAGGCCTGGTCAAATTGGGGAAGCAGAACCTGCTAGGAGGTGACAAAGTCGAAAAGTTGGAGTTTTGTGAATCTGGTGTATTTGATAAATCCTGTAGGCGAAGTTTAACAAAGGCAAACAAAGAACACATGGATCCCTGAATTACATTCATGTTGGTCTTTAGGGACCTGCAAGGAATCCTTCACACTCAGGTGTGAGGTATTTTCTATCCATTGTTGATGACTATTCCAGAAAGCTATGGGTATTCATTCAGTAGATGAAGGATGAAACTTTTGAGAATTTCAAAAGTTAGAAGATTCTGATCGAAACTCAAACTAGCAGAAAGGTTAAGAGGTTGAGAATCGACAATGGTCTTGAATTCTACAACAAAGTGTTTGAAAGTTACTGTGTTGAGTATGAGATTGCAAGGCATAAGACTGTAGCAGGTAATCCTCAACAAAATGGCTTAGCTGAGAGATTCAATCGAACAATCCTTGAAAGGGTTAGAGGCATGTTGGTTAGTGATGAATTGAAGAAAGTGTTTTGGGCGGAAGCTGTTTCGACAGCAGCTTACCTGATAAATAGATGTCCTTCGAATGCCTTGGGAATGAAGACATTTGAAGAAGTTTGGTCGGGACATCCACCTAGTCTCGACAGACTGAGAGTATTTGGTTGTGTGGCCTATGCTCATATTAGGCAAGACAAGGTCGAACCTAGAGCTCTGAAATGCATGTTCATGGGATACCCTGAAGGAGTCAAAGCTTATAGGCTATGGTTCCTAAAGCCAGGTCACAAGAGGTGTGTCACCAGTCAAGATGTAGTTTTCAATAAAGCAGAGATGACTTTCAAGAAAACTGATGATGCTGACGAAGAGCTGGAATAGGGAGAGATTCTTGTTGAGGTGGAGCATGTTGATGCTAAATTGGGTACCCTAGATGAAGTCGAAGAAGACGTAGAAGATGTTGTTGAAGATGAGGAGACTGATAATGACTACCTTATAGCAAGAGACAGGTTGAGGAGATTCATCAAGCCACCTCAGAGACTTGGGTATGCAGATCTTATAACTTATGCCTTAATCTCTGCAAGTGAGGTTCTATACGAAGAACCTAGAGACTATAAGGAAGTTATGAGGAGTCGAAAGAAGAATGAATGACTGAATGCCATGGATGATGAGATGAAATTTCTTCATGATAACAACACTTGGGAACTGATCAAGAAACCTGCTGGAGCCAGGTTAGTCAGCTGTAAATGGATTTTCAAAGTTAAGGAAGGAATCAAAGGAGTGACATCGAAGAGATACAAGGCAAGATTGGTTGCTAGGGGGTTCACTCAGAAAGAAGGTGTCGACTTCAATGATGTGTTCTCTCCTGTTGTGAAACACATATCCATTTGAATGTTGCTTGCCACAGTGGCACAATTCGACCTTAACTGGAACAGATGGATGTGAAGACTGCGTTCTTGTATGGTGATTTAGATGAAACAATCCTGATGAGGCAAACTGAAGGGTATGTCAAAAAAGGGAAGGAAAATTATGTGTGCAAGCTGAATAGATCCTTATATGGACTTAAAAAATCTCTTCGACAGTGGAATAGGAGATTCAACAAGTTCATGACACACATAAGTTTCATTAGAATTCAGTTCGACCACTGTGTTTACTTCATATTTCGATCGGGTAATTCATTTGTTATTTTGTTGCTCTATATGAATGATATTCTAATAGCAAGCAACAATGTCGAAGATGTAATGAGGGTGAAGGCTGAACTCAATAAGGAGTTCGATATGAAGGATCTGGGAGCTGCGTCCAGGATTCTTGGGATTAACATCCGAAGAGATAGAAAGCAGTCAAAATTATGCTTATCTCAAGAGGCATACCTACAAAAGATTCTCGAAAAGTTTGGTATGTCAAATTCAAAGCCTGTTGTGACTCCGACAAACCCTCAATTCAAGCTGAGTATAGATCAGTGTCCCAACACTGATGTTGAAAGAACTATATGAATAACATTCCATATGCTAATATAGTGGGTTCTTTGATGTATGCTATGGTCTGTACTAGGCTTGACATAGCATATGCAGTAAGTCTTGTAAGCAGGTACATGGAGAATCCTAGAAAGGCTCACTTGGATTCTAAGGTACATAAATGGGTCTTTGAATATGGTCCTAATTTATGGTGGAGCCTTGGGTGAAGATAGCAAAGCAGCAATCGAAGTCTGTTCACATGCTGTTGATATAATCACCAAGACGTTGCCCAGATGCAAGTTTTTCCACTGTATGCAGTTGATAAAGCTGCATGAAGAAAGCTAGTTTCTTTATGTTATAGAGTTAGATCCAAGGTGGAGATTTTTGAGATGTTGGATCGAACTCTAGTATGGTCGAAGGGTAGCTTCTGGTTCGACAGGAATTAAACATGAGGTCGAAGTATGTGCGCATGCTGCTGTCGGAGTAATGCGTGTTGTAGTCGACGTTTGTTCTAACATGCATTAGTCAATATTGATAGGGTTGTTAGCATGTTGAATTGGGCCTTGCTTGTTAGCCCAATTGCTTAAGTTACCTTGTAATGAGTAATTGTTAAAAAACCTATTAAGTTAGTGTGCTATTTTTCTTATAAATAGGATGCTAGTTTCTCAATCTTGACATAAGGAAAAATAGGAAGATAAAATCCTAATTTCAAGAGAGAAATATTATTTTGTTATTCTTGTGTACTTGTAATCTTGTTCTAATAGTAAGGAAAAAATAACATTTTATAACCAATCCTTGTTGTTCCTTGTTGTTTTACCTTGTTATCTTTGTTAACCCTAACCCTTGTGTGTTTCTTGATCATAAAGAAACCGTTTATATTTTGTTTCAAGACATCTGATTCACAACAGTTGTTTATAGAGAATCTCATAAATGTTTCATTGTAGTGTTTAAGAACCATCTTAGGTAATCATTATTGTTTATAGGTTTCACTAGATATGATGTATAGTGAACCGCCATAGTTAATCAGAACTTTTTCACGTTGTAGTTCGCCATTCACGCTGAGACGGCCAATGAGTCATTTTGCTTCTTGTCCATTCCTTTGTAGTTTTTATCTTTCTTGATAATGTGATTGTAGGTAAGATATCTTACCTATGTAAGAACACATTTTGACTTTGAAGTTCATAAATGTTAATGATTGTGTAGGAACTTACGAGGTGAATCACTTAAACACATATATTATGATTTATTCACGTAATGCTTTGATGTTTTCTTGTTCTTATTGTACGCTCCTTCTCCACGTGAGAGGTGTACCTACAAAGACACTCTAAATATAAAATAAGACAAATTGCATGCAGATAACTAGTAGGTAAATTAATGTCGTGATTATACCTAAGGGTTGAACCTCATACTTATAAAGTGATTGAACTCATATATGCACCACTGAATTGTTATCTACACTGATGTAATCGTTGAGATAATTAATGAATAAATTTGATTTAATTATTATAAATAAGTCTGAAAAAAATGAGATAGATGGTGATACATATCTAATTTTGATATATTTTACATGGTTCGAAATAACAGTGTTTTAAAAACCGGACCGGTCGGACCGGGAACCGGCCTGATTTACTAGTTCGATCGTCTGTATAATTAAATCGGTAAAAACCGGGTTGGGCCGAGAAAAACCGGGTTTAGGGTTGGACCGATTCTAATGCATTTTTTATTTTTTAATTAAAATTTAAATGCAAAAATTATAAAAAAAAATTGTTTAAAATTAGATTATGTTGCAATTATTTTGTAATTTTGTATTATTTTGTTATGTGTGATACATTTGTTTAAAATTTTAATTTAAATTATGAACTTGTGAATTTATGATATGATATTTTCAAAAATTTTAAGTACTAGTTATATTGTTTTAGAAACTGAATCATCCAGTTCGATCGGTTTTATATCTATATAATGACAGGTCTATTCAACCGAGTTATCCGGTTTAATCCGGTTTACTCATGCAGTTCGACCAGTGACCCAATAGTTTGACCGATAAACCAATGATCTAATACCCTCACCGGTTCGATGACCGATCCAATTTTTAAAACACTGCAAAATACTTAAAGCACATAAATAATTCTAAATGTCTAATTTACGGGCATGTTAGTTTTTTAACATGACTATGCATGTAAGATGATGACAAAAGTAAATTAGTTGTAAAGGAGATAAAAGAGAGCCTGAGATTGATGATAAAAACAATGTACTTAATAAAGAAGAAACACTTAAGATTCATGATAAGAACAATGTAATTGAAAAAAAAAAAAAACACTTTTGCTTCATTCAATAATAAAGACGGATGATTCTCAATTTTTTGTCCAAGGTTCTCCATTCATTGTTTTAATAATTTAAATAACTTTTTAAGATTAAAATAAAAATAAAATAATTTAATTACATTAATAATATTCTATAAATTCATTGTTATTAAACTCACTTGTGTCATATGTTCCCGCATCATTCAAAATGAGAAGAAAAAAAATCACAAAATCATTATATAAAAAAATTCAATTATTAACGGAAAATATAGTAATTTTTTTTCAAAACAAAGACGAAAATATATTTAATCTTAAATATTTGTACTTAAAAATTTTATTTTTAATTTGTACTAATTATTTTGAAGGATTATTATATGATTTAGCCTATACTGGTTTGTAGTACACACTAATTTTATTTTATAGTAATTATTAGTATTATATTATTATATTATTACACCTAAAATTTAGCGATCTCGTAAAACCCGCTTCAATTGTTCCAGTCACCATCCATGGACACCGAGCCCCTCCAACGACGCCGTCGAACCAATGCAACTCCTCAGAACGCCGCCGTAACGGAGAAAAGGTTGAAACGCAGCGAGGTGAGGTTAAAAAAACCCCATAACTTTTCGAATTTGCGAGTGTAATTGATTTCGAATAAACGAACCCGTTTCGTTTTGCAGATACTAGCAAAGAAGAAAGCCGATAAACAACTCATCAAAGAAGCATATGCCATAAAGGACCAACTCGCTTCCTTTCCGGCTTATCGCCACTTCCAATTTAATGGTAACTGTTTTTGAGTTTGTTCGATGCAGTTAGATCAAGATTATGTAGGCGATAATTGATAAGTTAGATGATATTGGAAGAAGAAACATAAATTGGTTGATTAAATTTGAAATGTTTGATAAAATTTGCATTTTTTGAACTGATAAATATAACATAAAAATATATTTTTAATTAGTATTTATATTTAAATTTAATTTTTTTATCAAGTTAATAGGGTAAAGATGAGACTATAACCTAGCATCATCCCCAATTTTTTTTGTTTAAATTAGTTTTATTATCGATATTCCGGATTGGTCAAAATAGTCCCACTGAGAATCGAGACTAAGGTAGTTTATATACAGACAACACAGGCACAGTGACATGGATTTGAGGTTGACCAGAATACTGTCGCTGTACCTGGGAACTCGAAGTTCGCACTGCGCCCCTTGGCTTCGATAAGGGGGAAACTGTTCCGGGCTTAACCAAAATAGCTCCACGTTGCTTGGGAATCGAGGCCTAAGGGTAGTTTATATACAACACCCATAGACCTTAACTCAACGAAATGCCTTTTCTAGAAGACAAAAGCAGACAATACCGACAGTGAGACGAGTCGCAGTGACCTGTACTTGAGGTTGACCGGAACATTGGAGTTTTTCCTCTAAAATTTAAGCTGGACCTGTTTTGTACTAAAATGCATTTCTAATAACAAGAGTGATAGTAGCTTATGACTTATAAGGCTATAATAATCATTGATATTTCAACATAGTAATGTGATGATATTGATGTTAATGTTTGGATTTTTGTTTCTTGCTTCTAAGTGCCTAATTTTTCTACTTGATTTTTTAGGTCTGTCAGTGTGTTTGAAGTCAGGACATGGCAATAAACTTTCGTCTCCTGTTAAACGTTATATTCAGAATCTCCTTAAGGTAGAAATAATAGTAGAGTTACTCAACTGAATTGTATATAAGTTTTAACCAATATTATGGATTAAATTTGTTGAGTATGGCTTATAGTTGCATGCTCAAGTGCAATAAACATAGCAGAGTGAGAATGCCTGTCTGTCATTTGGGCTTGGCCCATTTGTATGTTGGCTTCCAACTAGGAGTATTCTAACCATACTATATTGTATACTAGCGAGAAATATCTTTCAGTTATCCTTTTTGTTCACAATTGTGCTATTTGCTCTCTGTTTTGTTCCAAACCTTCATTGGAAAAAGAAAGAATAATTTGTTTATCAAAACTGTGGATTTTGTCTTTTAATTTGTTTATACTATCTTGAGGGTGAGCCTTGCCGCAAAAAAAAAAAAGATTGCTCCTTTATAACCTGGAAATCACGGGTTCAAATCTTGAAAGTAATATATCTAGTTGCGGGGGTAAGGCTGTGTACATCTACCCTCCCCCAAACATCATCCGGTGGATTGTGTACTGGTCTGCCTTTTTTTATGTTTGTATTATAATAAATCAGAAAGGCGGTCCTTTTTTATGTTTGTGGTTGGCCTATGTCAAATAAAATTAATTCATCCAAATCTACAGCTTAACATGGAAGGGCCATATGGATCTGAGTGGCAAGTGGAAGAGAAGGTGAAGCGCATAGAAATGGTTGATCCTGAAGCATGCTATATATTCGTGCATGAGGTTGATCATTCAAATGCTGATGAGATGACAACGGTGGTAACTGCGGAAGATACCAGTGGGTTAGAAGTTAGTAGGCCCTTGGTTGGGTTTGTACAATACCGCTTTGTTTTGGAAGAAGAGGTACCAGTGCTTTATGTGTATGAACTACAGGTTGAGCCTCGGGTCCAGGGGAAAGGATTGGGGAAGTTTCTAATGGAACTGATTGAGCTTATCGCCCAAAAGGTGCTAAATTGTTTTTCTAAACTTACGCTGTCATTGATGATAATAGAGAATTATTGCTGCTAGGAAAAGATGATGAACCGTTGATGATTATGATATTTGAAGAAACTGATTTTTTTATTGATTTCTACCATTCAATTTATGAAAACCATTGAGCCCCTCGTCTGGACTTTTTGTCGAGAAGCCTAAGAGTTCAATGATGCATCTAGTTTGGTATCTGATGTTTTCATGACTTCTCTTGTAGAACTGCATGGGTGCCGTCATGCTTACTGTTCAAAAGGCAAACTTCTCAGCTATGAATTTTTATACAAGTAAGCTAAGGTAACATTTTTACAAATGTATGCCATCATTGAATTTTTTATCACTTACAAGAAGTCCATGTCAAGTTTGATAAGAATAAATCGACAAAAAAGTATGTTCTATCCTTGACCGCTCCTAATCCTATAAGCTTTGTCAATTAATTGTGTTTCAACCTTAAGAGGGCATTCTAGAAATATTTCTGTTTGCTTTTAAGCAGGAATTTCTGAACCGCATTTCTGCAACAAGAGAATGAGTCGTTAGTTTCATGTTATGAAATCCACACGTATAGCTATATTCTATGTGTAATAGACTTCTATATATTATAAGGGTATGTTTACTCTAGCATTCACATGTTTATTTGCGCAATCCTCAACATGTGCTGCGTTCTAATTCCAATTTCTAAATTGTAATGATAGTCTTAGTTGTTATATGCGCTGATTAAACATAAAGTAAGAACATTGTGATCCTTAGTGTCATTATTTGGTTTTAGCGCATAATCGTACTTTCTATATTTTGCAATTATAATACTTTTTCCTTCCTTTTTATGTTTGGTCTTTGTTTTGTTGAATGATGAAATGAAATATCTCTGTGACAGATATATCATATCAGCCACATCACCTTCTAAAGTTATTCCAAATGTATGTACCCCACTTCGCCCTAGAATCATAAATAAGAGATATGAAATTTCTTACACAAATTAATTTTGTTGTTGTTTTCAAATGCAGATGGAGAAGAGTTATGAAATTCTTTGCAAAACATTTAATGATGAAGCTAAAACTATTTTGGAGTTAAAGCAGTCACTCAGTACACCATAATATCTTGTATGTATTAAGTTTAATGATGATGAACGAGTTAATTTTAAAATTTAATCTCCATTTACCTCTAATTATTGGATTATTGTCTTTCTTGCTGACACTCCTCACCAATACTTTTTAGGGTCTTCTCCTTGCAAATTCTACCATCCATCTTTCTTAAATTGGAATTACCCCCAATTTCTCTCTGATGGTTCTATTTTCAATTATATCTTGTCTGAACATCATGATGACAGTTGTTAAAATGGCTATTTCAGTTGAACTCATCTGATTGTTACATCATAACTGTTTGTAGGTGACTGAAAACAAAAGCTTTTGATTGCATTCAATCTGTGAACCCTGTGTTTCTTTTAGTCGATGACACGTCATTAATTTTCTCCCAAAAGGTAATTTTAAAGTAAAAATTCATAGAATGCTGTTATCCATTACTAGAAGAAAATATTGAGACTTGCTCAAATTGTTTTCCTGGACATAAATGTTGATGTAACGTGGTGAAAGTTTGTGCTGTGTTGTGCCTTAACAAGCTTTCACCGCGTTATATTAACATTTTTGTTCATGAAAAACATCACGTTAAAATCATTTTTCAATTGACTGTAAGTAAAGTCAAACTGTTTTCACATAAGCTATAAGTTGTTTTGATAAACTATTCTAGAGAGTTTATGTTGAAATAAATTTAAAGCAAATAATCTCACACATATTTTACTTGAACTGATAAGGTCAAGATAGTCAATTCAAACATGTTCATAATGTAAATTGGAAATGCTAACTAACATAAGTTTCACCCTCATATTTCTGGTTCATTTTTCTTCATAGAACCTCTTTTGTTTTGTTTGCAGGATAGTGGGTGAGTTGGAGAAAGACTGCTTAAGTTATTAGTCTCATTTTTATGTCTTCTAGCTTCGTTGTGTTAATTGAGGGTCCCTTGTTCTCCCACATTTCCTTTACATTGGGTTTTTTCTTTTCTTTTTTAAATTATTTTTCCAGATTTAAGTACCTCTATAAATTCTAGCATCTCTCTCTAATTTTAATGATATATATCAAATAATTTTTTTCTATCCTCTCCATCAATTTTCTCTCATCCCCTCTTTAGAGAGATAGAGAGTTACGAGAAAGGAGGAGAGAAAAATGAAGTAGAGAATCCAAGTCTCTCTTTCTCCCCCTCCTTTTCTATTTTATTTATTTTTTATTGAAAATTTCTTAGCAGAAAAAAGATTTAACCAAATCAATTTTATAAATTCTTAAATATTAATGGCTTAATTTTTTTTTCAAAGACCAACTTAGTGACTAAAATTCAATTATTTCAAAGTTTCAATAGAAAAATATACAGACTTTAGCTCTCTTTACTATATATATATAAAAGGAAAGTTATTCTATATGTTGTATAATATTTGGGAAATTTTTAACACACCTTATATATTACGTAGGTATAACGTGAAAATAGTTAATTCTCCTCGATTCTGGATATGTATATCTTAAAACGTTAAATGAATTAGAGATATATCTCCGTAACAATTTAAAATATATATTATGCATCACATTTATTGTGTTGGAGATGCATCTCTGTTTATTTTACGAAGATACATCTTTGTAGCCTATCTGAACATAATATTACATGCTGTGTTTTGTTTATGTGTATTCAGATGAAGATTTATAAGCGTTATGTACCATGTTACGTGATTAGATTCAAATCATACAATTTGAATGCAAAAAATGATGTATATAAATTTAGATGCTCCAAAAATGTTGTATATAAATAAAGTTGAAAGCAACGATAAAGTAGAATTAGGTGAAAAGAAAATACAATCCATAATGAATCCAAATTACAAATATTATATACTACTGCACTACTGTGTATGTCGAACTACATCTCTTACTCTTCGAATTCCTCGACCATCAATCGCCCCGCCCTCCTACGCTATCTCTGATACATCAATGCTCCTCGTGCCTCCGTCATGATGGCATTTAGGACCCGCCTAATATCAAACTCATCAGAGAAGATATCTAAGTAAGACATCTAAGTAAGACATCCTCAACACGATATAATTGTGCCTACGCAATCTCCACTATGCGATGACATCTAAGTAAGACATCCTCAACACGATCTAATTGTGTCTGCTCCTCCTCTAGTATCTCCTGATGAGTTGACCTTGGTGGATCTCCTGGAGCAGTTTGCACCATATACTGATGTGACACTCTGAAAAACCACTTGATGTACTCGTCGACGTAGCTTTAGTTGCTCTCAGATATGGTACTCTGTGTCTCCTCCAGTACCAGATGACTCTCATAATCATCAAACACATCATCCATCTGTCTACGTGTCAAAGTAGAAGGAGCAAAGACAACAAGATGTATGAGAAAGGTTTGAGTGTAGTCGAACTTTCGCATGACACGTTCGAGCAGATGCAGAGCAATGAGTCGTGATCTGCGACCAACCATCATGAGTATAACACTATCTCGTCAAATGACCGCCTCTCATGGTGATCCACATAGCTGTTGAAAAGCATGTCCTCGACAACCAAGCGGTCGAGATACACTTTGAATGACTCTATCGTCCGGTTTCCTCTGAGCGGAGCAAATGTAGTAGCACACGACATATCCTCAGTGTAAGTCGGTACATTGAGGATAATCTTCAGCAGACCACGCTCCTGTAGAAAATAAATCAATTTCTGAAACTTGTAAATTAAAATAAATGTAAATTAAAAGAATGAATCCAATTAATGCTACCTCTCCGACCCAAAAATGTCTGGCATATGGTCTGGGTACAGAGGCAGTAGTGACAACTCTGTAAGGTCTCCAAATGCCTCTAGCTCAGCATCCTCGACAACCTCACCATTCGAAGGCGACACTGACTTAGCACCATCAACGGTAGGAGGTGACACTAACTCAACAACATCATTAATATCAGTAGTAGGAGGTGGCACTAGCTCAGCAACATCATGCTTTAGAGGTGACAATGGTGCCTCTGGTATCATCGGTGACTCGGGTACCTCTAGCACATGAATAGGTGATACTTGGCACATGTGGAAGGATGAAAGTAGTGATGCTTCGGTAGGTGAAACTCGTCTCCTACGGGAAGAACAAGATGGAGAAGCATGAGCCTTAGAAGTAGATGGCTTTGCATGGCCAGAGTGAACATAAACCTCTGAAACTTGACTCTTCTCCTATCGCACTGATGCATGTTGTGCAGTCCTCCAGTGCCTCAGCATATCGTGTCTATCAGTCACAATGGCTATAAGTTAAAGTAAATTAGACAATTAATGCAAACAAGCAACACTGCAAACAAGAAAACAAAAAAAATGTTATTTTACGGAGATGCATCTCCGGGTAATATGAAACCAAACGTTGAAAAATCCTAGAGATGCATCTCTAGAATTTTCTGCAACTCTTCAGTTCATCAATGGAGGCAATGCAAAAATACAAACCTCAAAATAAACAATATGATCATTATTTTCAACAAAAATACGTGTTTTACAACATGTATAAACTAACATTCTTGCATTTCTTACTCATTTGATACCTAAAGCATCATTTTCTACTCATTTACACAAAAACTCAAAAAACTTATAAAAACATTAAAAACATACAATGTTTCACTTTGCTTCAATGTTGGATGATGTTTCAGATGTTGATTGATGATCCTTTAAACTTGGTTGTTTGATTTTGGATTTGGTGATGGAAAAAAATTGAGAGAGTGTGAAGAGAGTTTTGAGTTTTTTTAGAAATGAGGAAGAAAAAGGGTTCCAACGTGATTTAAGCTCCAATTCATTCTGGGGATGCATCTCCGATATATTTTTACATTAACTCAGAATTTGGTGCGTCCGAAGATGCATCTTTGGAATATGAGAGCATTTGAGTATTTTCACGTGATGCCTAAGTAACATATAAGGTGCATTAAAAATCCTATATAATTTTACACAAATCGAAGGATATCCCAGTTTTTCTAGAATTACAACGTAAAACACGAAAAAAAATCATTCATGCCAACTTAATAATGGTGATAGTTTTTTCTTTAAACTGTATCATACTTTTCCTTTATTTTTCTATTTAGATTTTTCTAGATTTTTTTTTCCACAACACTTTTAACTAAATGCGTGAGGACAATAGAACTAATTTATATAATAAAAAACTTAGTTCTATTGTGGTTGTAATAAATTTCACAACACTAGAGATAATCCTGATTCGACCTTAAACTGCGTGACCTACTCTAGTTTGCTAGAGTTTTCTCTTGAGATTTTCACTAATAATTTGAGTTTTTACATAGGTTCAGCCTAACAACCTTACCCCAATTTTTTTATAGGTTTATATTGGAACCTTCAAATCTATTACAACATCATAATAGAACTAAGTTATTGATTATACAAATTTACATAATAACAGAGAAACACGACTCTTAGATGAAGTTTTTCACTCTCTTAGTGTAGCGGGAAAATTTGAGATTAAGCTATTGATTAACTTAACTCGCAAAACAAGAGTCGTCACTGCACTTTTATTTTATCCAAAGGAAAAGGAAAAGAGCGAACAAAATCTAAAGAAGTTTTAAAACAAACTAATAAAAACATAGACAAGGGTAAGGGGGTTGGTTACGCAAAGGGAAGGTGTTAGCACCCAAAACGTCTATAGTACTCTATAAGAACCTCTTTGAAAATCTAGCGTTTGACTTAAAAAGTGTTGTTTGCAAAAGATGGTGGAGGTGAGAAGAGAAGTACTTTTTTAATAATTTTGTGTTTGACAAGACTTCCTGAGCCTCGTGTCTATTGAAGCTAGTTGGATTATACTTGAGTGAATCACACATTCAAAGATACAACAGAGTCACCACCGAACTTTATTTAGTCTCAAAGGACAGGGAGAATATCGATAAAACCCAAAGGGAAGAGAAACAAGAAAGGGGGTCGGTTATACGGAAGGAAGATACTAACACCTTACGCATCCGTCGTACCCGACGAGAACCATTTCGTTTGCTTCTAGGCTTAGATGAGTTATCTATCTAAAGGCTTCTAGCTAGG